TGGAATTAGGTACGAGGGAAATAATAGTTTCGAATATATTCGCTATCTCTTGAAGAGAGGATAAAGTATTTTAATAATAAATATGAATAAAACAAATAACAAATAACATACATAGCTAATGAAAAAATCCCCGTCCGGCCCAAACTAAGAACAATGCTCATCGTCATAAGGTAAGCTCTGATGCTGCTTTATCAGAAAGCGCAGTCCTGAGCTCGGTGTAAGATTATAGCATGTGTCCGCGACCGCTTCCACAGCCGGGAGCGACTCAACCTCTCACCCGACATTCTGCACGAGATCGGACGCACTCCGCTGGTCAGGCTCAACAAGATCCCCCAGTCACTGGGACTCAAGTGCGAAATGTGTGAGTACAGAGATCCGGATATCACGGACGTTATACCAATCAGAGGATGTTGCCAGGACATAGCTTCGTTTTAGCTTCCGTCTTCGTCTATTGAGACAAACGACCTTGGTTTCGAATCGACCGCGATTTCAATGTTCAACAAACATTTTCAAAGTAGATTGTGCAAAACCTTTTTCATAAACATAAAAAGCATGATTTATGCACATTGCACACCAGTGCACCGGTGTAAACCTAACATCACTTTGCCCATTTTGTGAGGTGACTTCAACATACAATGTCACAGCGAGCAATAAATGGGCAACAAATAATAATAGAGGATGCCTCTGATAATAGCAAAAATAATAAGTCAAGGTAAGGTCGACAGCAATAATAGCCAGCTTTTCATCTGAACAAATGCACCACTTGTGATTTTCAGACGTGAAGTGCGAGTATTTCAACGCCGGCGGCAGCGTCAAGGACCGCATCGCCTTGCGCATGGTGGAAGAGGCCGAGAAGGACGGCAGGCTCAAGCCGGGAGGCACGCTGATCGAGCCCACCTCCGGAAACACAGGCAAGAGCTAGAAAGAAGGTGCCGTTCAATGTCTAATCTTGCAATGTCCGTCAAATAAATGCGGGCCGATCAGAAGAATTTGCTAATTGCTCCCTTACAGGTCAAGCAATTGTTTATTCCAACTCTGTTGGAATCCTGTCACCATGACCAGTGGCACACCCTTCATACATATTCGCATACGAGAAACCCAAATAGGCGGAGGGAACGTGCTCGACGAGCTTGATGTAGAGGTCTTAAAGCATGAAAATATAAAAATGTGTTGCGATATTTTAGACTTGAAGTTGTGTAGGTACTGCGGTGAGCACCCGCTCCCTCAGCGTAAAGTATCTGTGCCCATGCGACTGTTCCAACAGGCATCGGCATAGCTCTGGTGGCGGCCGTCAAGGGCTACCGCACCATCATCGTGATGCCGGAGAAGATGTCCAACGAGAAGGTGGCCGTGCTGCGCGCCCTGGGAGCGGAAATTGTCCGCACGCCGACGTCCGCCCACTGGGACTCGCCAGAGAGCCACATCTCCGTGGCACAGCGACTCAAGGTTCGGTCACCTGGACGTTGTCCGAGGCAGAGTCGTTGACCTCATGCATGGCGGCTTTTTGATTGCATTATACGCTTACTTTCGCAAGTTGAGGAACAAAAACCTGGCGGGGTACGGCGAAGCAACAGCTTAAATGATAACAAACTACTTCATCAACGTCCTACTCGCTTTCCTGCTTGCATACACCCAATTCAACGCGGAGTTTCGCTGAAACAGTTACTCAAGTAAAAGGTAAACGTTTGACACTGATGACAACGATAAAGCCACTGTCAGTAAACTTACTGGTCCCATTCTGACATTTTACAGAAAGAGATTCCCGGCGCTGTAATTCTGGACCAGTACCGAAACAAGGATAACCCGCTGGCGCACTACGACACGACGGCGGCGGAGATCCTGGAGCAGTGCGGGGGACAGGTGGACATGGCCGTCGGAGGTGAGCGGACAATCCGATGGTGGGGAAGCTTGAGGTTGTGTAACTGTGTCACAGAACGGCTGGGGAATGGAGAGATTCACAACAATGTTTAAAACGTAGGAAGTCGCTTGCCGTTCGCCGGGCCACCCTGGTAGTGGTAAACGCAACACGGTAGCACAGGACGAGCACTAGTAGTCCGATAAGACACTTATAGGCAGTGGGCAGTCCGATTTTGAGTAAGAAATGTAAGGTAGCGTCGCCTTCCAGCGTTGCCTTCACAGGCACTGTGAAATCCGTGTCTCTGCCACAGGTACTGGCACCGGTGGGACTATCACCGGCCTGGGGCGCCGATTCAAGGAGGTCAACCCGAAGTGTGTGATCGTGGGCGTCGACCCGCACGGTTCCGTGCTCGGCCACGACAAGGAGGAGGATGTCGAGGGCGTGTTCTTCGAGGTCGAGGGGATCGGCTACGACTTCTACCCGACCGTACTTGGTGAGAAGCGACTGGAGAATGACTCTGGTCAGCCAGCTGTCATTCGTCTGCAAGACGTGAGTCATCGAGATCTGCAAGGATGATTATTGAACAATTTGGTGAATTCAGGCAATAACTATAAGGCATGAAAATTACGAAATTGCAACCAACTGCGACTGTTCCCGCAATAGGCACAGTCACCTTTCATGCCGATTGATACCTTCATCTTATGAATTGTTTTCATTGCCCGCAGACCGTAAAATCGTGGACAAATGGGTCAAGACCAGAGACAAGCCATCATTCCTGATGGCGCGCCGCCTCATCCGGGAGGAGGGGCTGCTGTGCGGCGGCAGCAGCGGGACCGCGGTCTGGGCGGCCTGCGAGGTAAGCGGTACCTGCTGTGGAAATTGGATTCACCGTTCTCTTACTGGATTCTTTGTTTACATGATCATAAACAGCCGTGCAAGTATCTTTGCGAAGCCAGTGGATCACATCTTTGGTAGCACAACGAAGATCTCTTTTAACGTCAGTCACTGAACCATGGGGATGTCGATGTGATGGAACAGAGGATCTCGACTCGAAGATCGAAAAAAGGCCTTACCAATCTTTTTTTCTTTTTTCAGGCGGCCCGTGATTTGCCGGAGGGCTCTCGCGTGGTGGTCGTCCTTCCGGACAGCGTCAGGAACTACATGACCAAGTTCCTCGACGACGAGTGGATGAAAGACCACCAATTCCTGGACGTCGGCGAAGCAAAACACGGCACCTGGTACGCATTTTTTCGTTACGATGTGACTACCGCGCTGCTCTACTGTCGTCCCACAAAGTGGCTTAGAATACCACTTACGCGGCAGCCCCGTCGGCGTCATGTGTGAACATTTCTTCTTCGACATGCAGGTGGGGCCAGCTACGCGTGTCAGCACTGAAGGTGACCACACCCATGACGGTGCTGCCGGAGGTCACTGTCCAGGACGCCGTCGATATCATGAAGACTGAGAGATTCGACCAGTTACCCGTCATCAACGACGCAGGGTGAGGAATCTGACGGTGACATCCAAACAGAGGCATCCTCTTGTATCTTGTTCGAATTGCAGGGTGCGGTATTTGTCTTGTCGGTGGGACCGAAGTACTGGGAGTAACGTGTCTCATTTAGGCGTTTAAAATAACAACAACGTCATAATACGAATAAATAATTTGGAAGATGCAGCGAGTGAGAAAATAGACTTCAAAGGTGATGAGAATCAAATGTTTCAGACTCTCATGCTTTAGGTTTAGAAGACTGGAGGTTTTAGTAACGTTCGCGCTATCGTGTGTTGCAGAAAAGTGCTGGGCATGGTGTCACTGGGCATGCTAGTGGCGAAGCTCGCGCACCACAGGGTCGAGCCGACCACCCCAGTCGGAGAGGTAACACCCAACCGCCGAGCCGTGCACTGTCAAACGTCAGGCCATAGTCGCTGTATTTACCGACGGGGACGTAGCAATGGGCACTAGCGTACCCCGGTCCCGTCTATATGAAGTGGACCATGGCCAACGAACGGCGTCCTACCACAATAGCTTATTGAAGCTAAATGCCTTAGATGTAGGAATTGTAGGCATGGCTGGGGATTATCTTTACCAAGAGCAACATTTGTCTAAAGTTTATTTACAGCAAAGCTCGTCAAATGCCTCGTAATTGCACAACAGTCGTGACTGCTCTCTAGTCTGTGTCTACAAAGCTACTTTTTAAGTGACATCGGCGCATTTTCTCACGATGACTACGCCTCCCTGTCGCGTTGCTTTTACAGGTGCTCTACGGGCAGTTTAACAAGGTCAATCTGGACCACTCTCTGGGCACGCTGTCACAATATCTGGAGAAGGACCACTTTGCACTCGTCGTCCAGGAGCAGAAAGTTTGTAAGTGGCATATGGTGGCTGCAGTAGAGAATAAATTTATTATTCAGTTTCATGTTACATCACTAGTTTTTGTTGAATGCTTCGGACTTGTTATACTTAAACATTTGAGATAAAACTATTCTGGTTCATCGTCTGCAAGCAATAAGAAATTCCTTTTAAAATATAGCTGAATCACATTTACAAGTTACAACTCAAGTATCCCTGACCGTACAGAGCTTCGCAAATCACTAACCTGATCGCTGTTTCAGTCAAGGATAAGGAGCACACGGACACCAAGGAAGTCATTGTTGGTCTGGTCACCCAGCTGGACCTCCTTTCCTACATCATGGAGTACGAGCAGAAGCACAAGACGGACACAGAAGGACCCGGCGCCAGCGCACAGTGAACGACGAAAGAGCACCTCTTTTGCCTTGGGGGGGGGGGGGGGGGGGGGCGTAATTGAAGAGGGTAACGCCAATAGAATCGTGTGCGCAGCATCCGACTTCTGGGGCCAGGGGTCTCAAAGTCGTGACAGCGGGGGACGGAGGCATGACTGAGTGGCGTGTGAACTACCGTTATCAGCCTGGTAGCCGTTATCAGCCTCGTTAGCCGTTAATCGTAAGAATTTGCAAGTGCGACGCGTATATAAGGCTTGTATTGCTGGGGTTACAGCCAGCCCTTCCAGAACTCAGCAATCATTCACGGCGCTGTTATGAAGCTTATTTCTTTGTGCAATATATGCTATACTTTGTGCATCTTGCCCAATTGCAAACATGCTAGTTATCATAAACAAAAGTGAAATGACGCGTATCACATATATTTGGTTAGAAAACAGAAAACAACTGTAAGACACACGCAGTTCAAATGAACGACAGCAAGCTTGCAAAAATATCACTTCGTTACGTGTTCACCAGCGCTCAATCCGAGCCATGGCCAGCACCAGCGGTCAGTTATGACAATGAGTCAAACGTGAGGCACCATCGTCGACAGGCGTAACGAGGACAACGCTACGTCTGTTACACGACTTCCACCACACGCTCCGTTTCTCCCAGCCCCGAGTCTTGAGTTCCTCCGAAGGTCAGACCCCCGGCGACTGCTGGGCCGCCGCCGGACTCCGCAGAGCCTGCAGCGCGTCGGCACAGGCTCTGACGAGTCCCACCAGTTGGAGGGAGCTCTCCACGGAGGAGGCCGACTCCAGCTGGCCGGCCGCCCAGGACAGTTTGGCCCGCACCGCCGCCGCCGCCGCCGACAGCGCCCCCTCGTCCTCTGCGTCGGCAGGGGGCGCGGAGCTGGCGCCGGCCGCGGCGGCCGCCGATGAGACGGTAGCTGGTGCGGACGGGGGCGCGGAGGGCGGTGCGGAAGGGGGTGCGGACACTGGCGGGGGTGCGGGTGCCGCGCGGTACTCCCCAGCGGCGGTCGGGGACGCGGCCGTGCGCCGTCGGACTGCTCCAGGAGAGGCGAACTGCGACTCGGCCACCTGGCGACGAGCCGCCTCCGCGCTGGACGCTGCCGGGAGCGGGTCAGGAGGTTACAAAGTGACGCGTAACGTAACAGAACAGCACGTCACCTGGACATACCAACCTCCAAACTAATGTCACTGTAACAGACTAGAATTGCTGGATGTTCTATATCACATTTATTGTTGCTGGAGGCGTTGGTCGGGCTAGGGGAGCACTTCTGGACCTACCGAATACAAGCAGCTCGGAACCACAACACCTCTGGCTGCCCTACTCACCCGGGTTATCCTTCTCTGTGTCGGTATCCACCTCCACACAGGCCACACAATAGAGCTCGTCCTGCTTGTCGCGAAGGTAGATCGTCTGTGAATTCAGCGCTGAAGTTGATGTAGAGCACAATCGGGCTGGACATTCTATAACCAGCATTTAGTAGGGCCCTTTTTCACGATATGCCGCTGTCCGATGCTACCAGCCACCAGGCATTGGCACTCGGTTTCCAGGGAAATGTAAGCAGATTACCAATTTTTGCTTATGTTTCCATAGAAACCGAGCGCCAATACCAGGTAGCGTCACGTAACGTCATGTGCTGAAAAAGGGCCTAGGCATTTGATAACTTCAACTTCAAATAATAAACTACCCTCGACTTCATGCAACATAGCTCAGCAAACATGGCAACCAGGGCTACCTGGGCCCTGTTTCACCGGTGATAGCAGCACGCTGCTATCACGTTTCGCGAGCTGACGTCATGTCATGACGCCATACTGTTGACGTGATGGGCAGTTCCGGCGCACAATTGCCGCGACCTTGGCCGCAGCATTAAGTGACGTATGAGCCTAAAAGTAAGAGTTTACGCAGTCATGATAGTATATTTATTTTTAATATATATTTTTTTAATATAATGTATTTAAAAGAAGTTGGGTTTAAAGGGACCCTCCCACCTTAACATTAGTTTTGAGTTGAGATAGCCAAATTGGTGGCCATGGCCTGAAAATACCGGTTTGGGCATTCACAACATCGAAAAATGCTTTAATTCGGAGATATGGAATTTCAAACTTGCAGTTTTCGGATTCTAAGGGGCTAATGCATTGGTATGCCCCCTTAGAATTTGTGACGTCAGCGGAGATCTAACGATTTTTAAATCTTTTACTAAAACGTTTGGCAGCACGCGGTGGTATATGCTGCTTTGCGCGCAACAAATGCCGCACTTTCAAATAAAGTCGCTAGGAACAGCGGAGATCCCAAAAAGTAAACAAAAGTTAAAGTCTAATATCTTGAAAACCGGTGAATATTTTTCGATGAAATTTGGTAGATATTCATTTTTGCTCTTTCTGAACCGAGCGACATCACTTTCATGCCAATTCATTAACTTTTTTGAAGGTGGGAGGGTCCCTTTAAGGAAAATTTGGACGTTAACTTCGAACATTTAGTTGATGACGTATAACAATATTGCGGCAATCGTGCGCCAGAATTGCCCCTTACGTCAGCAGTATGACGTCATCACATTACGTCAGCTCGCGCAATTTGATAGCAGCGTGCTGCTATCACCGGTGAAACAGGGCCCTGGCCAGCCTGAGGAGCTTTCGAGAGATATTTACCACTGTACAGCACACTGGTCTCTGTGACATTGACATTGGTCTCTGTGGCCTCATAACATCTATGACATTGGAAAACAATCGCAGTCTTGTTTGGATTCATACTGACAAGTAGTAGAATAAAGCTAATTCCTCAATTAAATTAAAATATTTACAGACCAAAACGCGTTTCGAATAAATCGTCTTCAGTTGGCCTGTATGTTGGTAAACGTGTCTTGGTCTGTGAATACTTAAATATAACTGAGGGATTAACTTTATACTACTAATCACAGAGTCGTTCTACTCACGGTGCATTTTGGGCATGTCTCGTTGAGCATCTTGTATCCTTTCAGCAAGTATGATCCCATGAGGTTAGATATCTTGTCAGCCCTCTCGCGTTTGGCCTGAATAACCTTCATTTCTGCCTCAGTGGGAGGTGTCCACTCCATATCATCATCCATGGTTATGGTGTACTCCTGACTCAGCCCCTGGCAACAGCACAATTTCTCATTAAAATCTTATCTAAAGCACAGGGGTGGGATTTGAAATGATTTCTGGAACATACAATGCATGACCTTATCAATGTATCCATCACAAAACAACAGATAGCTACAAAAAGTTAGCAAGTTCTAGACTAGGTTCATATCATAGGTTTGAGCAAGATCTGTGGTTGGCTGGCCCCTGACATCCTCAGTTTTGTCACCTACATTTTTGGTTGGCTTTGGTAAAGGGCACAACATCTTCACTCCCCTGTTCAACCCACTTGCAAGGTCTTCACAACCTTGGCTCGGATGGGAAGGAAAAACTGTTGCACGCAAAGACTATTGACTGACAAAAAATATGTTTTGCATTGAATTGGGGAAGGTTCAACAAGGACCAAGGATAGTGTTCACACTATGGATAATATAAAAACTAATGAATGTGGCAGCAGATGCATATGCATTACCATACTAATGTAAGGAGTTAGGTACCAATGGTAGGTAGGTAACATATAGTAACTTTTCTAAAAAAGGAAGGCATCTTTCTACAATATTTATCAAATAAATCAACAAAAGAAGCAGAATAGAGGACATGTGGTAGAAATATACATGCATCACTTTCTGAAAATCATTAGTAGTGCTCTTATAGTTTTCTAGTTACCTATATATAAAGCAGTCCTCCATGTCAACTAGTTAGTAGATAGGAAGTGCACCTCATAGCTTGATGGCAGTGAGTTTGTGGCTGGGGTCGGGGAGCTTATGTTGTTGGACCTGGGTTTCTAGATTCACTGTTCAGCCAGCTGGCAACTCGAAAGAGGGCTAGGCAAAGTACTTTGAAATCGAACATAAAGAGCATGGTCCTGAGAACAATGTAATTTAACAGGACCAAACATTACCTAACTATGTCCAACTTTACCATAGGCTCCCTTTTTAACCATTTTTTTCACTGGAACATGAAATTTCATACTGTATTTCAATATGTGTGGCTACTGGCTATACCTAAACCTTCAAGAAAATGCCTTAATCTGTTTGAAACTGTAAGACACATTACCTTAACTTTCATTAAGATTTCATCACCAGTGAACCAGGTGTGGGCAAGGTTGGGTGGTCAATCTGCTACATCATTTGCAGGCCTAAATAAACAAATTGCATAAATATGAAATTTAAATGTAAAAATGCAAAGAATATAAAGCAAAAACTCATGCTGGGATTGCCTTCAAGATATTATTAACCATGGATAAGCATGTGATGTTTTGTCAGGGTGTGAATTAAAATAATTAGCTATAAAAACTGTGTAACAGTTTCCTAAACTAAGTGACTAGGTTTTTTAGTGTTCATGAGACAGTTATTTAATTTATATTTTTTGCTTTTATAATGCAAAATTATATATTTGTCTTGCTTTATCATACTATTAAATACTAACCAAGGCCAGTGTAAATACATTCTCGAGACTGAGCCCGTTACTGGATTTTTGAATGACGTCGAAGGATGAGTGCGGAAATCAATTATCATTAGGTAACAGTAAGGAATGAGGCGTGGAAAATTTATCACTGGCCAAGTTTGGTATGTATTTTACTGTATGCTAATGGTAAATTATTTTTCTTTAAGCAAAGTCATTTTCAAGTCAAGGCAATTTTTTACGAGGCCATCCCAAAATGTTGACAGTGCAAACTGAGGGGTGTTCACGGGCACCGCACACTGCTGTCAGCTGTGTGTGCGGTGCGTCCAGCAGGCGTGAGGGTAAGGGATGGGTAGGCGGCTCTGACGTCACAGCTGCGTGCGGTGGACGGACCGCTGTGGCCAGTCCCGACCAACCGGCCACAACGGTCGCTGTGTGCGGTGACGGAAGGCTAACGTAGGGACGCAGTGGGCGGAGCTTGGAGGCTGTGTGCGGTCCGACCGCACACATGACAGGGCCCGTGAACAGCCCTCTGGTGTAACATTTCAATTTTTGATCGTGGTTACTTTATTTACAAAACACATCTGCGGCTAATATACCTATTTGAATAGTCCAGACATACAGATAAGTATGTAACTCACCTGAATACTCTTCAGAGACCCCGCTCACGACGAGCAACCAGCACATAGATGTAAAACGACCCGAAACCAAACACGCGCCAAACACAACACAAGTGACAGGCCACAGCACATTGGTGCTGCATGTGGATATTGTGTTCGATAGCGTCCTTAGCGCTATACGCTTGCTAACGTTTAGCTTGCGTTTAGTGAAGGATATCACGGTGTTCGCTTTTTTAAGCAGCTGATTGCCTAGCAACACCCACTGAAAACTGTTTTACTAAGCAACATTAGAACAGAAGCAATAGAGTGTGCTTTAAAGGATCGTCTTTTCTGTGCCGTATTTGTATTCAAAATATAAAGGGAATACGTTTCTAATTTTTATTTTATAGTTTTTATTAGCGCAGAACATTCAATCTGTACCTACTGTTTTAATAATAGACATGAAATAAGTGTATGAATCACAACGGGTATTGCTATTGATATATGCCAAAAATAAGCCGAAGCAGTAAAATGTCGGCTTTGTGCTTAGCTCACTGCTCGCCTACCGACAGCTTCTGCTCCCGAACAATAGATGTCGCCCTAATCATCCGCCTGTGTGATGCTATGCCGCAATGCTCCGTCAGCTGCTTCTGCTCCCGAACAATAGATGTCACCCTAATTGTCCGCCTGTGCGATGCTGCGCCGCAATGCTCCGTCAGTTTATCGAGCGTTTCGTTTGGACACGATGAACGGCACGTTATTATAGGTAATCTCATGGGCGACAAAAACGGAATAGAATGGATATCAAAGGGAAAATTTAACGTACCGATTAAGAAGCCATTCACCACTTTCTCAGTTGTGTTTTATTTACCTCGGTGTGGGTTTCAATTATCCCTTTCACCTTCGCCCGATGTGGGGGAGTGGCATTTTTGGTCACACCTGCTATACTATACCTATAGTTTTATTTTGCGTGTGTAAAGAAAACCGAGACGCGCAGCGCCGCAAAACTTGGAATTGCTTATGGAATTTGTGATAGTCTTACTTTTGGTAAACTCCAGTGTCCTTTAGGGATGACCTGATGAACGATGACCTATATAATTCTGAAATATCTAATAGCGAGCTGTTTATTGCTTTTTACCGCGTCTTTTTAGATCTCTCACTTCCCCAGATATGCTGGTATGGCCATGCCCCCCCCCCACACACACACCATGTAACATTGTCAGATACTGTAGGCCATATGTCAGAGGTTGTATGTGTGACGACCGACGACCGAGGCGACCCCTACTCTGAGTCGTCGACTGCGCCGAGAGAGAGAGAGAGAGAGAGAGAGAGAGAGAGAGAGAGAGAGAGAGAGAGAGAGAGAGAGAGAGAGAGAGAGAGAGAGAGAGAGAGAGAGAGAGAGAGAGAGTGGTTCACAGTCAGAGAGAGTGGTTCACAGTCAGAGAGAGTCGTTCACATTGAGTTCAAGAAATACAAAGGTGGCCGAACAGAACTCTTTATCAAGAAGAAAACACGGCGAACAGTTAATTTGTTACACACCATGGCGAAGTTAGCTGAGAGACCCAGCTGGGCGCGGGTTAAGCCTGGCTAGTGGTTAGCATGTGAAGACATACGAAGAGGCTATGCATGTTAAATTATTAGGATTTGATATTGTAAAAGGTAGAAATTCTCGATCTCCGCTAAAAGGACAAGATACGATGTGCCACCTGCTGCATCCAAAGGACGCGCAATTCCTCGCTCACTCCAAAAACACTGATTCGGGCTGTACGTTTGGTGATTGCCATCATTCGACGTAAGTGGCTCCTAAAGACGATGCTCTCGTCTGGTAGGGTGATCGCTTCCTCTACTGGTTGACCTGTCCACCTAGACGGGCTCAGCCCCGGCGGCGCACCAGGATGGCCGTCCAGACAAATTTGTCTGGGCGGCCTCTATAAGTTCTATCGTCCTTCCGACTCTGCAATGGTCTCATTAGACCGAAACGGCTTAAACCAACGAAACCAGCAGGCACAGACAAGCAAGCGAAAGGAAAGGCGATAGTTTCTGGCTCCTGCTTGAGACCAATTTGAGCAACTAAAAATAACTATCATTCTTATGACATTGTAAGGGAAAAGGCATCTGGCTGGTGTAGCCAGTAGAAACACTGTAACATACAGATATCTCTTGTATTTCGCCTTTCTTTCTTTCTTTTGTTGGTTAGGTGCTTCGGTCTTTAGACCATTTCGCACCGGTGTGTTAACGAAGTCGAATTAAATAAACTGAATGAAGAAACTAGTGAACCTACAGACGATGAAGAAGATCTGTTTTAAGGAGAAAAGAGAAGAGAAGTTGTAGTAATGCAGGATGATCATCACCAAGAATGATGGGTAGATTCATTTGTATATCATGTGCCCGGCAGTAGTCATTTATTGGTTTACGATGTGTATGATATTTACGACAATGTACTATAATGTGTTCGATTGTAAGAGGAGATCTACAAGAAGGACAAGTAGGCCATGGCTGTCGATTGAATATGTGAGAATGAGTTAAGTAAGTATGTCCGAGTCGTAGTCTTGCCAAAACCTTTTCTTCTCTCCTGGATTTTCGACTTGATGATGACCAATGTTGTATATACGGTTTAATACGATGAAGGTGTGTGCCAATACCATCGGTGTCCCAACTGTTTTGCCAGAAGTGGTAACAATGTTGTTTTATGGAGGCTCGAATATTGCTGGAGGTATAAGGGATCGCGGTGATGTCTTGAATCGCTAGGGCTTGCTTGGCGTATTGGTCTGCTTTTTCGTTGCCATATATGCCGCTGTGCCCAGGTATCCACAAAAACTGTATTTTAACTCCGTTGTCGATAAGTTGTTGGTGCAAAGTAAGTATGTTTAAACAAATATGTTGCGTGGTATCAGGTTGCAAAAGGCCTAAAACTGCTGATTTGGAATCGGAACATATGCATGCCATTTGAATGTGGTGATGGCGAATAAGTTTGAGAGCGAGGAAAATTGCGTGTAGCTCAGCAGAGTAGACAGAAATATCATTTTGTACCCTTACAAGTGTTTGTGGATATTCTGGAGCGAATATACCGATGCCGACCGTGTTGTTTTGTTTTGAGGCATCTGTGTAAACAAAATGGAAAAGAGCATTGGACGCCTGAAAACTAAGAAAAGCTTGCTTCACTTCGCCGTGAGAGAGAGAATCCTTACGAGCCGTAAACAAAAAGGACACCGAAAGTGGATGAGCCGTCCAAGGCGATACTGCACAATGCGGTAGTGGTGGGACACTGGGTAACTCATATCCTAAATCAGTTTGATATTTTCTTGTTCGTGAGGCCAATGTAAGCCCAGTCCGTCTCTCGCATCGACCGAGGTAACTGAAATGCAGCCGAGGAAGAACGGATATAGCTGTGTGAGCTGCGTGTGACGGATATTGTTTAATTTTTGAGTAGTATCGTAGAGATAAATCCATTCGCCTAATGTGCAGAGGAATAATGTTAGCCTCTACTTGAAGAGATGATATCGGTGATGTTTTCATGGCTCCTAGAGCTAACCTCAAAAAATTGTTTTGGACGGCTTCTAACTTAATCAAACTGGATTTACAGCCCCCTGCGTACATGACTGATCCATATTCAATAACAGGTAAAACAATGCTTTTATATAATCTTAGTAGTACCGAGCGATCTGCCCCTGCTGGGGTACTGGTGAGGCATCGGAACAGATTTAACCTTTTCTTGCATTTTGTTTGAATGTGTTTGACATGATGTGCCATGGACAATCTAGGGTCCAAGACGACTCCTAGAAACTTGAAGGTTTTCATGAGTGGAATAGGCGTCCCTTTCAACTTTGGGAGAGACGATGGCCGTATTGTATTGTGTTTGGAGAAAACCATGAATGCAGATTTTTCTGGAGAAAATTCCAAACCATACAACTCCGACCATCTTTCTATTTTATTAAGTGCTAATTGTAAACGATGAATGCCGATGTCATATTCAGGTGTGGTACACCAAATGGCGCTGTCGTCTGCGAAGAGAGAAAATGATATATCAGGAGGAATGTCTTCAAATAAGTCGTCAATCATAATGTTGAAAAGAATTGGGGATAAGCAACTACCTTGTGGAAGTCCATTGTGTGTTTCATATGTGTTTGAAAAAACAGAACGGAGCCTGACGCGAAAACGCCTGGTCCCCGAGAGAAAATTGTACAAATAAAAAGCTAAGTGTCCTTTTATGCCAAGCTGGCCTAATTTATAAACCAAAGCCGGCCTGTACACCATATCGAAAGCGTTTTTGATGTCTAGGAAAATTGCTGAAGTATGTTCTTTCTTTTTATATCCTTTTCGTATATCACTTTCCAAACGGATCAATTGGTCGATTGGAGAATGATGTTTTCGAAATCCGCATTGGAATTTCGAAAGCAATTCTTGCTGTTCGAGGTGAAACGATAATCGTTTGGAGACCATCCTTTCCAAAAGCTTGCCTATGCAGCTTGTCATGGCTATTGGACGATAACTATTCGCATTATGCCTAGCTTTGCCAGGTTTTAATAAAGTTACAACAATGCTTTCTTTCCAGTTCTCTGGGAAGACGTGATTGCGGAAAAGATCAT